AGTATGCAACATTGGGAGTTTTGATTGGCAAGGGAGATATAGTGTTACGCCTGTTAGAGTGTTAGCTACAGGTTAATGTTTTATTTGGAGTAAATTGACTATCGTTGATGAACTCAAATCAATTTGTGATGCCATTCACTTTCCTAAGTGGCCTGGTTTCATTTGATTCTTTGAGCTTTGTCCATTCTTGCTAGATCTTTAATGTAAGGCGAACTAGTTAACCTTTTTTGCTTTTACATGAATAAAGCTCCATCTTGATGTATGTAATTTTTTTTTACTTTAGCGAGTCACTGAGTTGTGCTTATGCTTGTCTTGTTGATGAAATGCAGTATCAGAATTAATGTGAAGTGAACTAGTTGAGGGATGCTCTAGCTGTAATGATGATTCTTATTAGATTTCTCCCAGCATACTGAGGTTATACTGCTTCAATATTTAACTTAATGCTAGGTTGGGGAAACTGAGATTTGCTGCTGTTTTTAGTTCTGGTGAATCTCAGTCAGCTTCACATTCAATAAGGAGACGGAGGTTTACTGTAGAATGGATATGATGGTTAAGGATACAGCATTTTTGTTACATGGAGTACAGCTAAAAATTTGTGGGTTTTGCACACTTACAACTTAAAAGGGTTTCTGTAGGCTTGGAGCCGTGTACAATGTACAAATGTATTTAGTTAGCACATGCGGTTCATGTTTTTTTTGGGGAATTTTAATTGTTTGATACACCAATTACATTTGGAATAGAAAAATACTGACATTTATATTTGTCAGGGAGTTCTTTCTAGTCCTGAATACTAGTTTGTAGCGACAGTGTATGTCGGGAAGTCCTTCCGAGTCCTCAATACTGAATTTGTTTTGTATAGGAAATGGGAATGTTTTGGAGTACCCCCTTACGGCCAACTGTCCATAATTTTATGTCATCGCTTTGAAAAGTAGAACTAAAAAGGGCTTGAAATTTACGTTAACAGTTAAACCGATGATTTTTCAGACTCAAATTTTATCTATTTGTAGGATTCTTTCATATTTTTGAACGAAAAGATAGTTCATATGCCCACAAAGCCACAACAAATAGACAAGTACTTGAAGGCTCAGACAATACATTTAAGCAACCGTTTGCCTTGTCTTGACTTCAGATCTAAAGGAAATGAAATCAAACACACACACCTTAAGCCTAGTACTAGGGTCTAAAGGAAATGAAATCAAATACATCATCAACTCATAGCTTGGAAGTGCCCACTTGTACTGCAAACTCCTTGATGTTACCTTTAGGATTCTTGTCGAACCTGGCTAGCTTGAAGTGCTCCATCTCTACCCCTTTGGCTTCTCCTTGGAGCACCAAGTCTGCCACCACCCTCCCTATCACCGGACCCATCTTGAATCCATGTCCGGAAAACCCCCCTGCAATTACCACATTTTTCCCAAACTCGCCTCCTAAGAAGTCTATCACATAATCTTCGTCTGGGGTCATCGAGTACATGCAGGATTGTGATGAGACTGGACGATCATGCTCAACTCGACCCCCAAATCTCTCTTTGACCCACAACTTCAGAAGGTCCATTAATTCCGGATCTGGGATCCATGTTTGTTTATCTGGGTCGCAGAATTGTCCTCCGTGTACCCCGACCTTGATTAAACCAGGATACTCCAAAGAAGGGGTACCATAGATATAAGGGCTCCCATATCCAGCAAAGGAAGGAAATCTCCCATCTATTGAAAAGTCCCTTTCATACTCTTCCTTAATCCTCCAGTAGCATATAGTAGTTTCCAAAGGCTGAATGGGAACCTCACGCCCCGTAACTGCCTTCACTAACTTGTTCATCCATGCACCAGCAGCGACCACACATTTTCTGCCATAAAATTTCTCCCCTGTGGCTGTGGAAACCACTATGCAATCACGACTCGTGTCTCTGCTTATGTTAACGACCTTCATGTTGTCTTTGAGAATGGCGCCGTTAAGGAGGGCAAGGGTTTGAAACATACACACAGCTTTGGTAGGCTTGATCACACCCGCCCCTCTACTAACAACCCCAATCCAATCCTCAGGCACAGTCACCCCTCCAGAGAACTCCCGAGTGACTTGGTTGTGGTCAAGCACCCGGAAATCAACTGAGTTGGACTGACAACTACGAATGACAGCCTGAAGAGAGCGATCATTGGCTTTACCAATGTCAAGCTGGTTAGTAGGGTAAAGGACCCTATATCCAACCTGTGATTGAGCCTCCTCCCAGAGCTTGGAAGACTCGAGGACCATGGCAGAGTAATAAGGCTCAGGGTAGGTGACCCGAATGGTTCGGGACTCACCATGGGAGGAACCCCTGTTGTGCAGAAAGTCAAATTGGTCTAGCAGAAGTGTGGAGTAGCCCCTCATTGAAGTTTGGTATGCAGTGCAACTCCCCATAATCCCTCCTCCCACAACAATCACGTCTAGAACTTGCTCAATTCCTGTTGTTCTGCTATCCATTTCACTCTATACAAATAGGCAAATTGATCACCAGTTGATTGAAATGCAATTGACAAGACAAAGGATATATGATTCAAACAGAAGAACATAAAATTAATTTACATCCCAATTTTAAATAAAAATATCACCTTGATTAAGTAATGGTAGTTTTGTGATTAAAATAACAAAAATACTTGTAATCAACTCAAAATAGTAGTAAAATCAACTACTAAATAATAACCATGAATATTAGTCTATACAATAGAAAAACACCATAAATACATAATAAAAACCAACCGTTTATTTACACTTATATCACTTGATTTACGACTTTGGTTCATCTAGATGATGACAAAAATGAGGATTGCTCTTTTCATTAATATTTTTTCCGAAATCAGTAAACATGAATCAAATAAATCATTGATGGGGCGAAAATAACAGAAACAAATTCACAAAGAGGGAGTAGTAGTATAATATTCTGAGTAGCATCGAAAACTGAAAGCATAAAACAATACCAGAAAGAAGAAAACACAAATTTGAAGGTGAGAAAAGAAAAGGAGTGAGAAAGAAGAGTAGTTGGTTAAATCTTACCAGAGTAACAAGGGTGGATTGTAAGAAGAAAGAAGGAGCACCGTCCAGTTGGATTATATGAAGCTGAAATCTGGAGAATGAAGAATGAAAGAGAGGAGACAACTAAGTTTGATATTGACAATTGTATGAGTCAGTCAATGATATCATATCATTCACTATTATTGGATTCATACTAATTAGGAGTAATAAATACTGTACAATAATAGTCCCTCCTTTTTCACGAGCTAAACTTACTAAGTATTACATACATCCCACGTCACATCCAGCTATGATATTTATCATAGGTTCTATCCACCACCATCATAGTACATGTTTTGGATTTCGGTTTTTGCTTTCTTTCCTTTCATTTGGATTAGATATTTAGATTTTGAGAGTACTGCAACCTCCTTTTCACCACCCTAACTCCGTCACATGTTATCATGTGAGATTTTATATCTATATATCCTTATGTAAATAATTTAAATAATACATTATGGCAAATTGGCAATTCATTTAGATTTATAAATGGCTTAATAGCAACACAAAACATCATAAGATATTACTTTGTGAATCTAAATTTAGTAGAATTGAATGGTAAATATAATTGTGGATCGTGTTGGGACAGATCTTTATTCTTTTGGGATTAGTCAGGCTCATTTCATGGTGAAGCATACTCGCTACATGTTGTGTTGAAATATTCGAAAGGGTGACTTAAGGCTTAAAGCTCCACCATGTTTGTGCTCAAATGCTTAAGTCAGATGCAACTTATTTTAGCATGATTTGTCGTGGTTACGGAGTAACGTTTAGCTAGGGGCAACTAAAGGTGTCAAAACCACACTCGATCCAACCCGATTCGAAAAATATCCGATTCAGGTTTCGACTTGCGTGAACACAATAATTTAGCATGAGTCAATTTTAAAAATTAACCCGATCCAACCAAACCTCACCAAACCCGATCCGATCATCAGAATTGACACATAACACCTAGGGGCAAGGGGTAAAAAGGAGGAGGGCATAAACGGAAATAAAGAAGGGACTTGGACTGGAAATACAAGTAGATAGAATCCTCCAAAACTACTGGGATTTGTTAAACGTCGCCCGCAAATCTCCACATAAAGCCCACAAATATTTTTACTTTGACTCTTTTGCCCTTTTTCTAATTTTTACCGAAACCGTAATTCACTCTCACGAAGAATGTGGAGCTGGAGTGGATCGCCGAGGGACACCGAAGAGCCGTCATCGTCCCCGGAAAGCGAGATAATCCGGGGGAAAAATTACGAAAAGTAGGGGTGGCGTCTGGTCAGGACGCCGCCACCATGGCTGTGGCGTCCTGGCCAGACGCCGCCACCATGGCTGTGGCGTCCTGGCCAGACGCCACCCCTACTTTTTGTAATTTTTTTTTTTTTTTTTTTTTTTTTTTTGTAATTTTATTTAAACTTTTTGTATTTTTTTTTTAAATTTTATTTAAAGTTTTTGTTTTTTTTTAATTAAACATTAACACAAAAAATTAAACATTAACACAAAAAATTCTGATTTTAAAAAAAATATATACATTAGAAATAAAAACATTAACACATAAAACAAAAATATTAAACATTAACAAAAGAATTCTGATTTTCCAAAAAAAAAATATTAGACAAAAAAAAAAAAAAAAAAAAAGTGGTAGGGCGCCTGGCCAGGACGCCCAGCCCCTGGTGGTGGCGTCTGCTCCGGCCGCCGGGACCAGGGGGCTGGCGTCTGACCTGGACGCCCAGCCACGGCGGTGGCGCCTCTGGAAAATGCCACAACCGTGGCTAGGCGTCCAGGTCAGACGCCAGCCCCCTGGTTCCGGCGGCCGGAGCAGACGCCACCACCAGGGGCTGGGCGTCCTGGCCAGGCGCCCCACCTCTTCTGTTTTTTTTTTTAAATTTTTTTTTAAAAAAAAACCCTGCCACCGTGAGCCGTCCTTCCCTCCGCCGCTGTGGCCGCCAAGTCCTTGCCTTGCCGCCTCAACATTGCCGTATTTTCGGGTGATTAGAGTGTGGGTATGGGTTAGATTTTTTTATTTTAGGTTTAGGGCAATAAGGTAAATTCAATATAGATTTGTGGGCTTTATGTGGAAATTTACGAGCCATATTTAGCAATCCACAAACTGAACCCTAAAACTGTAGGTTTCATTCTCTTCTGGGTTTCAAATTTTCTTCGGAGAATACTGGACCTTTGTTTTCGCCTCAGAATTTCTCTTCACTCAGGTACCTCTCTCTCTCTTTCTCTCTCTCTCTATCCTCTCCTTCACTGTCGTTGATTTTATTTGTTGAATTTTATCTTTCCGCCAGATCCAATTCCAAGGTTTTCTCAAACCCTAATTCGTCGTTTTAATTAATTTTGCTGAATTCTTAATCTTTGCAATTCAATTGATCTGAATGTATCGTACATGTTTTTGTTAGGTGTTTAATTCTGCACAATGTCGCGTGTATATGTTGGAAACTTGGATCCACGGGTCACTGAGCGAGAACTCGAAGACGAGTTTCGCATTTTCGGAGTTATTCGAAGGTCAGCCTTCTTCAATTGGATCTTTAATTCCGATTTAGTTTTTTATTCGGATTTCTTTTATTGATTTTGAGTGACATCAGCTAGTTGTTTTCTAATTCCTTGAAAATTGGGTTGATTTGCAGTGTTTGGGTTGCTCGGAGACCTCCAGGCTATGCTTTCATTGATTTCGATGATACCAGGGATGCCAAAGATGCCATTCATTCTTTGGATGGTATTTTCTTTACTTTGTATTTTCTTTTGATGCTTATAAAGAGTATGGTTTTTTTGTTTAATGTATGGTGTTTCCGTGCACTCGAGTATGGTGTTGGACTGTTGGTGGTCTTTCATTATAGCCTTCTTTCGTGTTGCCGTCCTGTCCTTCTGTCCTTCATTGCTTCAATAGATGCGTGCGATTGTATTCCCAATTTTTTTGCAGCAATTATGAGATGGAATTTGCCAGAGAAATTTAAAAGATATTAACTTTTTACCCTCTCTTCACTCCTTAAAAAAAAAAAAGAGAAAGAATCAAGAGATTTAAGTATTATAAAGTATTGATCATTTGACTGTTAAGTGTTAAGGGTCAAATAAAGTTTAAACAAAAAAGTGAAATTTATTGGAAGATAGCCTTTTTCCATTGCTCATCTCTTGGAGGTTATTTTCTCAAGGTTTAGAATACATTTAGTTTTAAATGATTTATTTTGTCACAAGAATCACTGCTGCATCGAATATTGACTATTGATTAGTATTGTCATGTGTACAGCACCGTAACAAAGCTTGTGGTGTGTGTATGAATCTTTATGTAAATCTTTGCGGAGGCCTTTTAGCTTGTTGATGAAGTACATGTTAACCTTTTCTGAATGAAATTGCCCGGTGTCTTTGTAATGAGTATTAGAGTATTGGTTTATACTTTGCGGATAGTTTTCGTGCTATAGTTTGTTTTAAACGTTGTAGGTAACTTGATTTAGCTTAGTGATTTAGTTGCTATTACTATGTAAGCGTGTTCTCTTCTTTGCTTACCTTGCTCTTTTTCTTCCCTCTTTTTTCCAGGTAAGAATGGCTGGAGAGTTGAGCTTTCCCATAATTCTAGAGGTGGGGGTGGCGGCCGTGGTGGTGGGAGAGGTGGGGAAGAGGTGGATCTGATTTGAAGTGCTATGAGTGTGGTGAGCCTGGTCACTTTGCTCGTGAATGTCGTTTGCGTGTTGGTGGTGGAGCAGGGGGGAGGCGACGCAGCCGCAGTCCAAGATACAGGAGGAGCCCAAGTTATGGCAGGAGGTATGGTCATCACAAATTCAAAATTACCAGTATAAATCACTAGGCTGCCCTCCCATCTACTGCAATGATTTTTATTTAATTATGTTTTTATTTTTGGGATGGGGTCATCACTTTATTGATTGAGATAGTATTGCCGGTTACAAATTGTACTACTTTTTTTTTCCACAGGAGCTACAGCCCACGTGGTAGGTCTCCACCTCCACGCCGTCGCAGTCCCTCACCTCGTGGAAGAAGCTACAGCAGGTCACCACCTCCTTATCGTGCTCGTGAAGAATTGCCTTATGCAAACGGGTAAAAGTCCTATATGTTACTTGTTTTGAAGAGTTGGCTTCTTTCTGCTTTTGTATGCTGGCTAGCTGCTACATTTTTTTTCTTTAGAGTTCAGATCCTAACCTATCTCATTCTGTCATGCAATATTTTAAAAATTATTGGACATACCTGTGTTCTATAATTTTACCTTTATTCTCTGTTATTAAGGAATAGATTGTATTTACCATTTAGGTTTACCCTTGTTGTTTTGGCCTGTGACGTGTTGTGGTATGTCATAATGGTTTTGGTAGATCGTGTATAAGAGCAAAGTTAGGCACTTTTTACTAAATATAGAAGATTAAGGCTAAATTTATGTCTACTAACACCTTATTTCTTCATGCAGAAATGGTGTCAGGGAGCGACGTCGGAGCAGGAGCTGATTGGGGTAGTTTACTTTGAAAATACTGATATTATGTCTTTAGTATGCTTGGACATCATTCAACTCTGTTTAAAGCTGGGTGCTGCCTGCAACCACAAATCTTGGATTTGGTTAAGTTCTTATCTTACTGTGTTAATTAGTATTTTTTATGTTGCGTATAGAGGCAATCTGTTTCAAACTCAATGATTGGTGCTTGTTACTGTTAACAATTTGCTCTTCAGTACATTGCAAAATTGGCTAAGTTTTGTACTGTTTTCTTGTGTCGAGGTTGTCTTCATGGTTCTGCTACATTGGTAGTGTGCCTCTTCTGCTTCTGCGTCATTGGTTTTCTGCTTCTGCATCATTGGTTTTCTGCTTCTACACTTCCCTGTGGTTTTGTTGCTCGATGCCTTCCCCAGGATCTTCAATTTTGAATTATTGTGGATCCCGGCTGGCTTCATCACTTGGAAAAGCCTGCTTAATTGAATCTCGGCAGCCTGATGCATCTCCCTCCCTTGGTTTTGTTCCTTGCTGTCTTCCCTAGGATCTTCAATTTTGAATAGTTGTGGATCCCAGCTGCCTTCATCAAAAGCTTACTTGATTGAGTCTCACCAGCATGATGCATCTCCCTCATACGTTATTACGACTTCTTTTTTTGTTTTTGCCTGGATACTTGGATAGACAAGCTGCTTGTTACTCTTCTGGCAGGTACAAGCATTTAAGAACTTGAGGCTTTTCAGGACCTAATTTTTCGCTTGTCCTTATTAGTTGGGTTTCCATGAGTAGGTTATTAAAGTACAACGACCAACTTGTGGAGCAAGTGGCAACTTCGGGGTTCTGTTGCTTCGTAGGCTCATTGCTTCAGTTTTTTTCCTTTGTTTGGGTTGGGTCTAGAGGAGGGAGGGTTGATGCATGGGAGTTTCTGTTTCCACTCCACAAAAGTGTATAGACTCCCATATGCATGCACAATATGCATATTGTGCTATGAAAAGAAGTAACTGCAAGAATTAATGGGAGTTCAAAATAACTATTTTTTTTTTCCCCAATAGATTTGAGGCATGAATATCCTACAGATTTTAGTAATATACCTGGATCTTTCCTATCCTTTTAGTTTAAAGGCCATGATATTGGGCTGGCGGCTAGTTTAAGGGTATTTTTGGGTCAGATTTGATGGATTTCAACTGGAGCTGCTTAGTGGTTTTGTTGAGAAAGAGCTCTTATTGCATTTTGGTTTTGTTTCCTTGTCTCTAATTGTTGGAAAACACTCCAAAATGTAGCTGGTTAGTGGTTTTGTTGTGAAAGAGCTCTTATTGCATTTTGGTTTTGTTTCCTTGTCTCTAATTGTTGGAAAACACTCCAAAATGTAGCTTTAATACTACATTTCAGTTGTATATCTCGAATTTTATGTGGACATGCTTTTAATTGATATTCTGGGAGCGATATTTCACTATTTGATGATCACAGTGTTTGAAATGGTTAGCAATGTTGATGTTTTAACATTAGTTCCTCATGAGATGCTAAGGGTATGTGCAGTGTCCATAAGCTTTTATGTTTAGTGTAATGTTGTGTTGCTTGGGTATTTTGGATGTGGTTGGTTTCTTGGATGGTGTTCATTAATCATTCATTATACAATAATTGTTGTATATGTTTTACATAGCAATCGAAGACAATTGCTGCTGTTGTATTTTATTATTAGTTTTTAAATTTTTTAATTGCAATGGCGCTTTTGACCCAGAAGTTGCTTATGTGTGATCCAAACTGTGTGAAAAGGGATTTCTATTGTTCGTGTCAGTAGTGCAGATGGACATTTTTGTATTGTGAAGGGAAATGCCTTGTATCACGCGATGCTGAGACTGTTTAGGTTATCTTGTGCTCTCCATAACTTGAAATTTGATTATTTTTTTGGGAACTACTATAAGCAGCAATATCCTGCTGGCTGTAATGTCTGGCTGAAAGCTCTGCTTTTGGTGGTCCTAGTCCTATCTTGGCCGAATGCTCGATTACCATAATAGGTGTTTAATAATTCATACTCGTATGTTATAATACTTTGACAAGCTGGTTTGAGCATGACATCAAACGTCTTATTCTGGATTGAGGCAACTGGTGGCTTAGTTTGTTCAATACGTGTATTTATTGCCAATTACGATTTGTAATCTGGTTTCCGTTACATCTTTGGGTTATTATTATTATTATTATTATTATTATTATTATTATTATTATTATTATTATTATTATTATTATTATTATTATTCCACTATATATTCTATTTATCTAAATCTTACATTGAGTCCATCTTTTCATTTAAGATTAGGAATATACCCATCCTTCAAAAAAAAGAATTTGCTTTGTCATGAACTCATGATTGCCGTGTAGGTGTATTCAGGGTGGATATAATGAATCAACATTATATTAACTTTTGTGAGTTGTAACTTGTAAGGGTATCCTAAGAAGAAGCTCTGCTGGATGTGATTAGGAAATTCTTGAATTGAGTTTTTCACCATTTTTTTGACGGAAATACTTTTCAAATACTATTAAAGCTTCTATAATTGCTATTCACTCTCAGCCCGTCTTGTGTGTGGCTGATTACACCGTGTGACCACTAACGAAGTAATCCTTATAATACTGATCAAGTAAACCATGTAATATTGACTGAGTAACCCTTCTAATACTGACCAAGTAACCCCTATAATACTAGCCGAGTAACCCTATAACGTTCAACACTAACGAAGTAACCCCTTTGAAACTAACGAATTTGGCCACACCGCATATAAGAATTTGTGATTCTTTTTTTATTGGTGTGACCAGACACATATAAGAATTTATGATCCTCTTTTTATCACTAGACTATATTTTAATGACATGATAGAAATATTAGTTATAACTTTCAAGTATAAACCATTATTCTACAAAGATTAATTACATTTTGTGTATTTTTGGCACATCTTACAATAGTATTCGTGATATTAAACTTAAGATGAAGTATGACTTGTATGAGTACTACATTAAAACACTTTATAGAACTAAAATGGATTATTATTCGTGATAAACCCAATACAATGAGCTGTGTGGGTATTGTGAGCACGTGATTACATTGAATTCCAATAATGTCAAGTGATATATTTATCAAATCAAATCATCGTACTCTGAAATTAGAAATTTAGGGAATTCATGTGTATTTTATATTTACTGCCTTATCTCCTTGGACATATTCAATCACTTCATGCTTTTGTTTGTTGTAATCCTAGTACGAGTATTAATCATCATTAATCCTTATTATCTTTTTTTTTTTGAAAAAAAAAACCTTGTGAAACCACTCTTATTGAATAATAGAAGCCGTGTCGTCTTGTTAGTGTGACTAAGTGTAATTTGTTGACCACTTTTTATTTATAAAGTCACAATTAAGTTCGGGATCTGATCCACCTATCTCAAGTATATAAGCATGTACTTTTTACAAGCTCGATTTGTGAACCAACGCACATGTGCTAGCGAGGTACTCAAACCAATTAAACACAATACTATTATGCTCTAAGATTTCTCTTTAGAGTAGAAAGTAGAATCGATCCATCTGGACCATGGCTTACCTAGTCCTCACGTTCATTATCATAATTTTATAGTCTATTAATTAATATATTTAATTTGGGTATTGAAATAGTCAAATATTGACTTGTTAAGATTTAGAAACTTTGGGTAATTAATTATTTTTAAATTTATTTTACCAATATACATCAAATATTATTCGGAGTACAATCAAAGTAGCACATTGAAGACCGTAAAATAACAAATGATGCAACTAGCCAACTACGAGTATTTAATCACGGATGAATTATAACACTATTATTGGTGTTCACGTCTTCAACCAGTAGTTCCCCATCTTTCTTTCAACAACTAACCAAGAACAGGTAACAGCCATCTGAGCTGTACTCAGTCTCTTCTTTGTTTCGTGTGTGTGAATGTGAGTTTTTTTTAATTAAAATTTAAATTATTCTTCTGACTTAGTTGCCAGCTTTCCGCTAGCTGATTGTAGTCATAAACTCATACTATTGTTCCTTAAAAAAACTTTGGTGTTTTTTTGTTTTCTTGAAGAAAGTCAACTGATGCAAAATCTCAAATCAAAAACAAATCCTCCTAATCTTGTTTCATTTCATCCCCATTTTTATTTTTGGCCTTTTCTACAAGAATTTCTTACCAAAAGAAGTTAATTTTGATTTAATCCTGTTTGAGTTTCCATGAATTTGACTCATATAATCATCTCAAGTAATAAGCATGGATTCCAAAAGGCATAAGCAAGTAAGGTAATCAATTAATGCTTCTATCTAATTTATGTCAAATCAATGTAGTTTAATCTGTGTCAATTACCTTATAGATTGATTTCATGTTTTTTTTGGCAGTTTTTATGAAAATGGAAAGCAGAGCTTCAATAATAGTTATTCTTCTTGGGGAAGAAATGACTCATTCAGATCAGAAAAATCATCAAATACAGCAGCTTCATCAACATACATACAGACTACTCCTTTACTTAGCAGCCGTGGCGGGTTTGGAAGCATAAACAGAATAGGAAGTGGCATAAACAGAATAGGGGGAGCTTTCAAGCTGCCTACATTCAGAGCTTTTTCGAGAAATGGCGGTGATGGACCTTGGAAACAAGATGAATCATGGTGGAACAGGACCTTGGATCCCTCAAGTGAGGTGGTCTTAATATGGAACCGTATTTTCCTGGTTGCGTGTCTTGTGGCACTCTTTGTTGATCCCTTGTTCTTTTACCTTCCCGAAGTTGATAAACCCAATGGTTCCTTCTGTATGTCAAGGAATGTGCCCTTGGGTGCTGTTGTCACCTTTGTTCGTACTGTCGCCGACATTCTATACATGTTACATGTGGTTGTGAGGTTCCGCACAGCTTTCGTAGCACCTAGCTCTCGGGTCTTTGGAAGAGGGGAACTTGTAAGAGATAGAAAGGAAATATCAAGGAGGTATATCAGATCAGGTTTCTTCATCGATCTCATCGCAGCATTGCCTCTTCCGCAGGTAGTATATCTTGATTAGATCAATTTTTTGTCTGTCCAGTAAATACTGAAAGGATGGTGGAATGGTAAAAGGCTTTGTGTGAAATTATACGAGTTTTTAGATACCTTAATGTAAGAGCTTTTTTGAGGAAAACTATATTTTTTTTTCCTGCAGATTGTGATATGGTTCGTTATACCAGCAATTAAGCTCTCTAAATCAAGAAGCACCTATAATGCGCTTCAATTGATTGTTTTCATCCAATATATTCCGCGATTTTATCTGATTTTCCCTCTGAGTGCTGAGATTATCAAGTCTGCTGGTGATGTCACCAAAACAGCTTGGGCTGGAGCCGCTTATAATCTGATGTTCTACATGTTGGCTAGTCATGTAAGAAACTGATCCCTTTAAGCTAAAGACAAGTTATAGCCTCAAATCTTAAGGAAATGCTTGTGGATAGTTTTGATTTTTGAAATGGTTGATTTCTTTCCTGTAGATCCTGGGGGCAGCTTGGTATCTTGTGTCTGTAGAAAGGTATTCAGCATGTTGGAAATCAGCCTGTAGACATGAAAAAGCTCCTGCTGAATGTCGTCTAAAATACTTGGATTGCAGTACTAAAGATGATAGAGATCGTATCGTTTGGGCAAATAGCACACAAGTGTTTTCTCTGTGTGATCCCAACAACGCGAATAGTACTTTTGAATATGGGATATTCATTAATGCAATGCTAAAAGATGTTGTCTCTGATAATTTCATGGACAAGTATTTCTATTGTTTGTGGTGGGGCTTACAACAGTTGAGGTAACTAAAATGCATTCATGTTATTGTTATGTACTCCGTATATTATTTCCTTGTCAATAAACCGAAGTAAGAGTGCAGCTTAACTTCAATTAACATGGATGTATTATATCTATGTTTCGCAGTTCATATGGCCAGAATTTGGAATCAAGCACATTCGCCTGGGAAACCACATTTTGCATATTGATTTCCATAGTTGGTCTGGTTCTGTTTTCCCTCTTAATCGGTAACATGCAGGTAAGGAACCTAGGTTTACCGGTTACCAGTCATAAAAGAAGCTTAGTCTTCCTTGCAATTGTTCCACGGACCAGTTTAGGGGAATTCACGGCCTTGGGCAAGGGAAATGACCATTAAGTGCTTCTCTTGTGAAACAGAAGAGAATTTGATGCTTAAAAATTAAAATGTTATAGAAGTAAATCAAGATCAATCTCACATAGCTGCTCGTTTTTAAGCATTTCTTTTCTTACCCTTAATTTATCCATCTAGTCCTTTTAGTGAATAACACGGATCAGAGTTACCCTGATATATATGATATGTGTGGCCTTTGACTTCCATTACTTATGCTTGGGAAATTGCAATTTACTTTGTAGACCTATCTGCAATCCATCACCTTGAGGCTTGAGGAATGGAGGCTTAAGAGGCGTGACACTGAAGAGTGG